AGAAAGATAGAAAATAAAAAAAAAACAGAAGAGAAAAAAATTGATATAAAACAACATTATTACCTTATACCTTTTATTCTCTTCAATGGTGAAAGAACCAAGACTGGGCTCAAGACAGTAATACTGGCATTTACATTGTGCCTTAAAATTTGCAAAATGGGCTTTAGTTACCATTATCTCCAAGTAACAGATGAAGAAACTGAGGCTCAGAAAGATGGAATGATTTGCCCAGATCCATATACCTGGTAAGTAGCCTAGGCAGGATTTCAATCCAGGTCTTCTGACTCCAAGTCTGGAATAACCCTTTTATGTTGCTTTGGAGGATAGCCCTGATCAAGAAAAAGCTTTCTTCATTTCTTCTTCTACCCTTTGTGGTACTTTGTTTAAAATTTAATAAGTTGTGAGTCAGTAAACGAACATTCTCCGGGACTAAATATGCCATTTCTTCAAAACCCCTTAAACTCCAATCTCTCCGCAATAGTCTTTTCTAACTCCATAAATTGAGTGGTGAGTGTTTTTTCCTTGATCTACCCTCTTTGGAGGATGAACAACACACATATCCCTCTTCATCCTCCATGATTTGCTTAACTCATTTGCATGTTTGTCTGTGAATCTGAACATGTTTTATTTGTTTATCCATGTCCATTTTCTTATGTAGACAACAAGCTCTTTGGGCAGGTGGGGGCCCAGCATTATATGGAACTTATCATTGGGCTGAGTGATTCTGTTAACTACCATAGTACTAGGTACACAGAGAGTGATGAAGTCACCATACAGTCTATGCTGTAGTTGCAGTCTTTGGGTGAATATGAAATTAATAAGCTGACCCTTTCTGACTGCAGACCTTTCAAAAAGGCATCCCAGTTCTTCAAGTAATATTTCATAATAATTCAGGGTTTTGTTTCACACAAAGAAAGATCCTCTTAAGTATCAAATGGTAAATGTTAGTTTATTATAATAATAATTATTAGATTATACTGAAAGAGATCTGGCCATGCACACAAATTAAGCAGAGGCCTAAAATTATTTAATGTCTCTGCCTATTTTTTATACAAATAATAACAAATACATCCATCTCATAGGGTTGTTGGGAGGATCAAATGAGTTCACATGTATAAAGCACTTTGCAGACCTTCTCTTCTTACATTTAGCTTACAAGAGAACCAGATTTCAAACTATGGGCTTTGGACTGTAATTTAAATTGTTTTGTACAGCATTTAACAGTGTTCTTTTAACATGTGGGCTATGGAGTAAATATTGAATGAGGATAGCAATGGTAATGACAGAACAGAATTAGAAGTGACATAGACATTTTTAGAGGCAGGAAAAAGATGTTGAAGATGGTGACGTGCCTTGAGTTGGCTGGCATATTGGGATGGCCAGATGAGTTTTAGCCATTGGTATTGGCCAAATAGCCAAATGGTATTAGTTTTCATGCCAGTCATCCTAGGACATACCTCAGTCTTCCATCTGCATCTTTATCTTTCTCATTTCTCTAAGAATGCCTGTCAATTCTGAATTCATTATCTTTCTCAACTAACTTATTGGAACTATTATCCTCAGCTGATATTTAGAAAGATCAGAGAGAAAAAAGATTCCATCTTAGAAGTATCAGAGTCCCATACTAAGCCAATGGTTACATGGTTTGGGGCTCTAATTAGCTCCTATTAGTTCTTAGAGGGATGTCCCAAAATGATTGATTGGCATGGGTAACCTAATTTACCTCTTTAAATAAAAGCCAGATTGAATAATCTACCATCTTTCAATAAGTGCTCAGAAGCCTCAGAAATTGTGTTTCCAAATGCACAAAATAAAATACATAGGATTACCAAGGATTTCCATTTATATTGAAATAAAGATGTCATTGGTTTTTTTCTATCTAATTTTATAAACCCTCTGAAACTACATGGGAGTCCAAGGATTTCAGGTTAACAACCCCTGGCACAGAACAAGAGAATCCCTTAGGATTGAAGGCCACAAACATGTGAATTTTTAGAAAGTCACAATTGATTTTTATGTATCACAAGAAATGACTTGTTATTTTTATTCACATAATTGGCATTGTCACATACATACTACAGATAACTTCCAAGTAAAAATTTGTCATTTCCTTTCTTTTCTTTCTCATTTGTTCATCACTATTGACCCAGATCTCATGGACCAAAATAAAGTGGCAGAGGGGAGAGCCCACAAAAGATTTAAAAAGAGAGAGAACACTTTGCCAGATTCCCTATCCCCCAACTCCTTCTATTCCGCCCCTTGTGCCCCTAAACACAGTCTGGAGAGTGTAGATCAAAGGAAATAGAATTCTAGGCTTTTTGAAGTGGAGAGGCTAGCATACATTGACATCAGGTAGTGGTTAATTTGTCCTTTGAAGACAGGTGGGCATAAAGAGACAAGCTTTATGGAAGCCAGACTGTCCTTCCCCTTTGCCTCAGGGCTGTCTCAGGGACTTCTGTTCTCAGTTTGTCATGAATTCTAAGTATAACCTGTTGGCCCTTGTCACCAAAAGAAAATATCAGGGTCTCCTTTTACATTTCCCTGGAATCTGTCCTCTCTTCCCCGCAATGCTACAGGGTCCCATAGGCCTTTGCCCTTGCCTGACATGCTGCCAATTGTGAAAGAATTTGGTAATTTGGTTTCATAACAGCCTCAGAAAGGGAGGTTGCCAAACCAAACTCTTCTGGCTGTTATGCTGGTCCCTCATGGGAGGAGTCCTGTTAAACAGTGCAAGAGTTTGTGGAAAGAGGACAAGACATTAAAAAAGAAAGACAAGATACTGCTGCTGGGAGATCTCAGGAAGCAGGTGGTTTTGGTAGTGGCAGGGGGGACAGGAGCAGGAGTACTTTCTTCTGCACATCTCCATTATGGACCTGGATCATATCACATTTCTAGACCCACTGAAAATGGCTTCTCATTTCTTTTTATTATCATCATCATTTTCATTGCTATCATATATGACACTTGAGAATCTCTTAATGTTTTGTTACCCAGTGTTGTATGAATATTGGCTGTCTTTATTAGTGTTGCTATTATTAACAGAGATATTAGCACACTTACTCATCATAACCATGTTGTTTTGCTTTTTAATTATATACAGACTCCACAAAGCGCTATAAAGACATTCATCTATTGGCCAGTGATCTTCTCTGTCTCTGTCTCTGTCTCTCTCTCTCCCTTTCAGCTTCCCTATCTCTCTTTCTATCTTTCTTATGCTGATCCCCCTTGGTGCTGCTCCTGAAAATAATTTTCTCCAGACCATTGCCTCTCTCCATTTCTTATTCTTGCACTGTCTATTCCCAGACTGCTTCCAGGGCACCAGACTGGGCACCACCTTACTGAAGAGGCAGGATTTTCCTTGTATGTTCAGGACTGCCGTTTGTACACCTGTCATTTTAGCTTTGTGACAGGCCCAAAATGAAAAGTGGGGGAAAGGGATTGGGGGCTGAAAAAAGTAATGTATTATGACTCTCCTGGCAATAAATATGCTCGTTTGGTTTTCTATTGCATGTCCTGGGTCCCAGGCATGCCTTGGTCCTCTATTAATGTGTAACTACATGTGTGCTCCACTTTCAGGCAGGTGCAAAATCTTGTTTTTAACCCTAGACATTTTTTTCCCACTGCTCCTTATCAGGCCACATGGTGAGTTCATCTATAGACCCACCTGCAAGCCCCTTACCAGAGTCCATGCAATGTGCAACAGGCCTACTGTCATTGTGGCAGGATTCAGGTCTTAGAGCTGGGTACCAGCTTCCGAGGTTTAACCTCACTTCTGCCTGGGATCAAGCTGTGCTCCTGGGTTCACTGGGGAGAACACTAATTTAGAATCAGAGAAATCTGTCCATCTCTGTGACTTGCTACCCTAGATCACCTGGGTGGGTTTGACAAGTCTCATACATTCTCCAAGGCTCAGTTTCTTCATTCGCAAAGTGAGAGCATTAGACTAGAAGATTTATCAGGCACCTTCCATTTCTCAATCTTACTATCCTGAACTCTATCTTACCTCTCTGATGGGGTAAGAAGAAAACCATGGGAGTAGCGGGATGTTCCAGCATGAATACCACAGGAGGCAGTGGCAGGGGGTGATTATCCATATAAAAGGAGAAAGGATTTTGATACAGCTTCCAAGGAGGGCATGGGTGATGATCTTCATTTTTCAAAGAGAAAAATATTTTTATGGAAGATTGCAGGAGAAATCCTGAGGGAAAATTGGGCATGTGTAATAGCCTCAAATATAGTCTTTAATAATAACAGGAAAGGTGGAGAAATTCTTTCAAAGAGTGCTGTAAAATGGTCACAGGACATGAAGCCTTTCTTGGTTGCCAAATGCTAGAGTCCTCCCTCCCTAATTACCTTATGTCTAAAATGGATTTCCTCTCCACCTCTGCTTCTAGGAATCTGTAGCCTTCTTCAAGGATAAGCTCATGTCCTTCCTACAGGAAGCCTTTCTTGACTCCCTTCTCTTCCTCTCCCATTAAATTATCATGTATATATTTATCCTCTCAGTAGAATGTAAGCTCCTCAAGGGCTAGGACTATGTGTCATTTTGTCTTTGTACCCATAACACACAGTGTCTGGCACATGGGGCTAGGGCCACACCAAAGCTTTTGGGAAACTCTCCAGGATCCACTCCCTATCCACTACACCAGCCTGCTTTGCTTGCAGTAGGCACTTGACATATGCTTGTATGATGGAATAAGATTGGATTTGAGTTGGATTAGATGAGAACACAGATGTGACTTGTCAAATGCATTGATTAAGTGCTTATTATGTGCCAGGCACTGTGCTAAGTGCTGCATGTATAGATATAACCAAAAAGAAAGATGGTTCCTCCTTCTAATGAGGGAAGATAAAGGAAGTTGGGAGGAGGGGGAGGTATGGAAGGTACCTGTGTGGGCCATGACAGCAAAGTCTAGAGAGTCAGAAACAGAGTTGGGAGAGGAAGAAAAATTACTTGGTCTGCTCCCTTCCTCGAAATGAAGGCTCTGGAAAGAACTCACCAATCAGAGAAGAAAGCCATGGGAGTAGAGGAATGCTCCACGCATGCAAAGGCCACAGATATGACGGAACTTCCAAGGTAAGTAGGCAGCTGAGTTATGGCCTAGAGCTCTGCCGTCCTTCACGGACATGTCAATTAGCTTCCTGGTCCTTAGTTTCCTCCCCTGAAAAATGAAAATGATAACATGCACTTACTCTCTACCTAAAGGAAACAGATAGGATAATTAAAATGGCATCTTTGATAGAAAGGCAGAAGACAAATAAAAGTTGGTCTGATTACCAGCTTCCTGACTGCCTCTCACTTCAGATTTCAGCTGCAAATATCTCCCATCCATTGACTCCAATTAAAAAAGAAGAAGAAATCACAACTTTTCTTAATAACTATCATATTAAAAAGCTGCTGTGAAGTACCTTTTGTGGTGGCCAAGAATTGGAAACTGAGGGGATGGTCATCAGTTGAGGAATGGCTGAACAAGCTGTGGTATATGAATGTAATGGAATACTATTGTGCTATAAGAAATGATGAACAGGCAGACTTTAAAAAACCCTGGAAAGGTTTACATGAACTGATGCTGAGTGAAGTGAGCTAAACTAGGAGAACATTGTACACAGTAACATTCACATTGTGCGATGACCAACTTTCATTGACTTGGCTCTTCTCAGCAATGCAAGAATCTAAGACAACTCCAAAAGACTCATGATGGAAAATGCTATCCACATCCAGAGAAAGAACTATGGAGTCTGAATGCAGATGGTTTTTAGTTTTTTTTTAAACGAGGCAATTGGGGTTAAGCGACTTGCTTAGAGTCACATAGCTAGTGAGTGTTATGTGTCTGAGGCCAGATTTGAACTCAGGTTCTACTGACTCCACAGCTAGTGCTCTATCCACTGTGCCACCTTGCTATCCCAAGTCTGAATGCAGATGGAAGCATACTATTTGATCTCTTTTTCTCTTTTGTTGTTTTGCTTTGTTTCTTCTTTCTCGTGGTTCCTCTCATTGGTTATAATACTTCTTTACAATATGGCTAATGTGAAAATATATTTAATATGAATGTATATGTAGAGCCTATATCAGATTGTACACTGTCTTGGGGAGGGAGGGGGTGAGGGGGAGAAAATTGAAAACTCAAAAGCTTATGGAAGTGAAAATTGAAAGCCAAAAATAAATTAATTGAAATTTTTAAAGCTGCTATGAAATACTTTTGGGATAAAACTCGACTGTAAGTTATTAAAAATGAAGGTCTGATAAATGAAGGCCTTCCTGGTGGTATGGTACTATGTTATGTCATATCTCATCCCTTGGAATTAGTCAGTCAAGGAAAAGGATTTAGGAGCCACCTCAGTCTCCTAGAACAATATTTTTTCTGAAATAAGTTACAGAGGGACAAAGGATCCTGAGTGAGCATCCACATAGGGTGGATGGCTGTTAGCCCACAGATTGCTAAATTTGGCGTAACACTACTGATCCTTCTCTCACAGAGCAAAGTCATGAGCAGACAGAAAGAAACTATTGACAAGGTATTGACTTTCTCTTGAGGAAAGTGGGTATAAATGCAAGGTGATAAAGAGATAACATGCTACTAAAATGTAGGCTGATAACCCTAAAACATCATAGCAGCCAATGAATGGGCAATAAAATTGGTGTTAGTGACAGAAGGAGCGTGTGTCAAGGGATAGCTAGACTGAATTGTGCAAGTAAAGCACCCTGTGCCTGGGACATTGTGGGAGAAGCAGGAGGGAAGATAGGAGATTGTGGGCGTAGGATCTGAGGATCACTCACTAACCCAACCCTATGAACCAGACAATGTAGGTACATGGTGGAGCCATAGACATCTGGGGAATGATGGATGACATCACCACTTCCATCAACTGAGAGACAGCATAGTGGGAAAAGTATTCAACTTGAAGTCAGAAAAGACTTGGGTTCAAATTCTGACTCAAATGTTTACTAGCTGTAGGAATTTGGGCAAGTCACTTAACATCCAAGGGCTTCAGATTACTCATTTTAAAAATAAGGGATACTTACTAACTAGACATGTGACCCTGGGCAAATCACTTAACGCCCATTGCCTCCAAACTAAAAATACATACATATATATGTATGTGTGTGTGTGTGTGTGTGTTGTGTGGTGTGTGTGAATAAAGGACCCTTCCAGCTCTAGATCTATGATCCTATTAACCAATAAAATCAACTTCTCTGAGCCTCAGTTTTCCTGAGGCATTTCTGCAAAATGGGAATAATACCTATTGTATCTACCTCAAAGGTATGTTTTTAGGATAGATCAATAAATAAGCAATTTCCAGGACCAAGTGAAAAAGTGTGCAAAGCATTTAATAACCTTAAAAGGCCTATATAAAAGTCAAATGTTCTATTCCTTATTTCTCCCTTCTAGAAGGCTGGCAGATTCAAGAGTAACTGGCAGCTTACCTCTTAGCTGTGCAGCCATAGACAAGTCAATTAACTTCTCACCACTTCAGGAAGCTAAGACTAGAAGAGCCAAATGTGTCACTCAGAGAGAGGGATCTGCCAGAAAAGAGAGAGTTTCCATGCTGGCTCTTCTCTACATGGCTGAAATCATAGGCCTGACCCAAGACAACCCGAAAAAGAAAATAATTCCAGCTTCCCAAATGATGGGACTGTGGCAAAGGGCGTTAGGGATTTTTCTTGTGCTCTGTCCCTCTGTCCCTCCACATCTTTCCATTCCCTACCCCGCTGTTTTCCAGTCCGGTGACGTCGGCCTCTGGGCTATTCCTGGAATCCTTCAACTCTGGGCATTTCCCTGGCTGCCTCTCATGCATGGAATATTCTTGCTGCTCACCTCTGCCTCCTGGCTTCCCTGGCCTCCTTCAAGTGCCAACTAAAACCTCACCTCCTACAGAAAGCCTTTCTCAATCCCCCTTAATTCTCGGGCCTTCCTTCTGATGATTATCTCTAATTTATCCTGTATTTAGCTTGTTTGTACAGTTATTTGCATGTTATCTCCCCCATTAGGCTTAATTCCTTGAGGACAGGGACTGTCTTTTACCTATCTCCAGTGCTTAGGGCAGTGCCTGGCACATCATGGGCACTTGATGTATGTTTGTTGACTAACTGATTCCCCCCTCCTAATTCTGAAAGCACCAGTGTTCTCACTCATAACCAATACTATATTTGTCTGGGGGGATATCATTGGCTACACAACCACTGCTTTAAAAAAAAGTCACTTCTTTCCAAGACCAGAGTTTGTGTAAGGCTGTGGACAGCACCACTACCCCCTTGTCAAAGCCCAGATTTCAGAAAGGGAGACCTTCACTTCTACTACCCTATATCTCTAGCATCTTTCCTCTTCCCTCTACCTACAACCCCCTGGTTCAGGCCTTCATCACTTGGATTATTGCAGTAACTTTCTAATCCCCCGTCTCAAGCCTCTCCTCTCTCTGATTCATCTTCTTACAGCTGCCAAAATGATTTCCCCAAAGTACAAGTCTGACCATGTTGATCTCTTACTCAGTAAACTTGAATAGCTTCCTTTTCCCTCTAGGATGAGATATAAGCTCCTCTGTTTAGATCTGAAAGCCCTTCACAACCTGGGGCCAACCTATTTATCCAATATTCATGACTCTCCTTCCTGCAATCTCTAGTCTGACTAAGCTGGCCTTCTTACTCTTCCTCACACATTAGGCACCGTTTTCTAATTCCATGCCTTCATGTTGCCTGTCCCCCATGAATGGAAGGCACTCCCACATCACCCCTTAGAACTACTTGTTCCCTTCGAAATTTTCCTTAGATGACACCTTCTATATGAAGGCTGCCTAAATTCCCAAAGATACGAGCATTCCCTCTGCCAAAAAACTTCTCTATTTAATTTATATATACTGGTTTTGGTACATATTGTCTCTACTCATAAAATGTAAGATTCCTGAGGGCAAGAACTATTTCATTTTTCTCTTTGTATCCCCAACACCTAGAACAATGACCAATATTTGTTGTTAGATTGTTAACTTCCCAATAAGTAATCCCCACAGAGAAAGGGAATGCTCTTTTTATGGGTTCCCCATTCAGTTTCAGGGTTTTTTGGATGGTCATCATGAGCATTTCCACAAATGGAAACTCAAGTCCCTCAAGAGCCACTTTTGCATTTCACCAAAAAAAAAAAAAATCACACCAAATTGTATTTTCCTACCTTCGATATACATTCCAGTTACATCAGGTATCAGGGAAAGTCAGTCGATAAGCATTCATTAAAGATTTATTATGTACCAGGCACTGTTCTAAAGACTAGGGACACAAAGAAAAGAAAAAGACAGCTAATTCCAGCTCTCACAGACTAATGGGGAGACAGCATTCAAACAAGTGCATACAAAGAAGATAGAGAAAGGCTGGGAGTACTCTCAGATGGAAGCCTTTGGCAGGAAAGAGAAAAGTAGGTGTTACGGAGAGTGAAAGGAGAGAATAAGAGGATTTTTTTTCTCTTTTTGGCTAGGCAGTGAGGTCGAGTGACTCGCCCAGGGTCACACAGTTAGTAAGTGTTATGTGTCTGAGGCCAGATTTGAACTCAGGTCCTCCTGAATCCAGGGTCAGTGCTCTATCCTCTGCGCCACCTAGCTGCCCCAAGAAAGGATTCTTTTAGTTAAATCAGGGTTAAGTGATTTGCCTGGGGATCACACAGCTAGTAAGTGTTTGAGGCTGAATTTGAACTCAGGTCCTCAGGACTCCAAGACTGGTGCTCTATCCACTGAACCACCTCCCTGCCTCTCAACCAGCATTTGTTAAGTATTTATTGTGCACTAGGTGTTTTGCTAAGCACTGAGAATACAAATACAAGCAGAAAGAAAGATGGTCCTGCCCTCCAGGAGCTTACATTCTAGTGGGGGAAGACAACACATAAAAGAAAGCTAAAAAGGAGGAGGAAGTGGGGAGAAGTATGATGGAAAAAGGCTAGAGAGTCAAGAATGAAACCAGAAGAGGAACGAAATCACGGCTAGACTAGGAATCCTCCTTAAGGAGAGGCTCCAGGAAGAACTAGACCATCAGAAGAAGGGAAACTTTTAAGTTGACTCTTGAAGAAAACCAGGGAAGCTAAGAGGGCAGAGGTAAAAAGGGAGAGAATTCCAGGCAGGAGGGACAGCTAGTGAAAAAGACTTGGAAATTTACTCTTACTTGTGTATTCTCTCCATCATTACTTTTCCCCATAGTACACCGTATATTCTAGAGGATCTAGACTTCCAAGTCAAATCTATCCCATGCAGGGCAAGGATTTGGCAAGGAGAGGAGAGATGGGAGAGAAGGAGAGTAAAATCAGAGAAGACAGAAGCTGATGTACCAACACAAGGTCAACATCAAATTGTCAAAGTGAGCTACTTTCGCTCCTTAATGTTGTCTTCTCCACCCAGCTCTCATGGGGCCATTCCCGTGGATGCAACCATACCTTGCATCCCCTGACAAGAAGAATGGTCCCAGCCACAGCTGCTGACGGGGAAAGAGGGTTCCCTGCCTTGAAACTGCCTCTCCTTTGATGGAGGTGCTTGGTCAGAAGTGTGACCGCTGAGTGAGAGAATCACCCTTCTGGGATCATTGGCATCCTTCTTTTGGAGGGTGACATACCTCATCTCTGAGGTATGCTAAGGCTATGTCTGTACAAGCAGAGGGAAGCAGAATAGTAATGCAGTCACAAAGATAATTCAAAAGAAGGAAAGATAAGCAACTATCCCATTGATGGCAAAAGAGATTTTGTTTTCTTTTCAAGCCTGCATCCTCTTAATAAGCTGAGCAAATTGGCCAGACACGTAATCAATAATTCTCTACCTGACTTTGTGTCTAGACATAGTCTGAAAGCCCTGGAATAGCAGCATCTCTGATTTTTCCTTTTGATCTCCTTCATAGCCTGTGTTCTTATACTGAAAATTTTATGGGACAGAGAATGGCCTTACTAGCACTTCATTTACTGTAAAAAGTTGTGTCTAATAGCAGGAGCATGTAGATAATCACAATAGACATAAAACAGGAGAAATTTGCATATTAATAGCCCAGTGCCTTTCTTTGGGAAGCCAAAAGACATCCTCTAATTTAGATAGCTCAACCCATTATTTACCAAATGTTATCACTGAGGAGGGTGGTTTTTTTTAATGAGATCTTTATCACAGACAACCATAAGATTAATAAAAATAGAGGGTAATAAAAGAAATCACAGAGGAAACCTGTGCTATCAACTGTGTCATAAAACTGAGGAAGCAATCTTATTCTGTAATGACAAATTCACCTATTCTCAGATAGCCTGTACAGAAAACCCAGGAGAGACAGAGACAAGAAAGAAAGAAAGAAAGAAAGAAAGAAAGAAAGAAAGAAAGAAAGAAAGAAAGAAAGAAAGAAAGAAAGGAAGGAAGGAAGGAAGGAAGGAAGGAAGGAAGGAAGGAAGGAAGGAAGGAAGGAAGGAAGGAAGGAAGGAAGGAAGGAAGGAGGGAAGGAGGGAGGGAGGGAGGAAAGGAGGAAGGGAGAGTGAAAGTTGAAAGGTTTCATCTCTTCGTTGTCTCTAAGCACCACACTGATTACTGGTCATTTAGGGGCAGGGGGGCAGGGGAGAGAAGGGCAATTTGATCTTGTGATTTCATTGGTATGGCTTCCCAGGGAGTTTATGGTTCTAAAAACTTGTCTAAGGCACTGAGAGGTTGGCTCGCCCAAGGTCATAGAGCCGGTATGTGTCCAGACTATATTTGAATTCAAATCATTCCTGATTTCAAGACTGGCTGGTTCTCTGTCCATTATGCCATACTGCCTCTTTCCTGGTACTATTTCTCAACAATAATACTTTGTATCCAATGATTGTATCAATAACACTTTGTGTACAAGGGTTCTCTTTCAACTGGACTCTGGCTGTGAAAAAGAGAAAGAGGCCCTTCGGGCAGTGTATGTGCCTATACTTTTTCATCTTCCCCAGAGTATAGAGGCCAAAGACCCACCTCCCCTGCCCAGGGAGTAAAATAGTCCCAAGCTAGACACTGAGCCAAGCTGAGGGTGCTAGGGATAGAGGAAAGCATATCCCACAGTCCATAACTCTTGGCCTTCCTCCCCACAGGGCAAAAACCAGGATACGGTTAATCCTTAAGGGGCCAAAACTGGACGTTTTGTGAGGGGAGGGCAAGATAGATAAAGGGATCTATACCTCTTTACACATTCTATCTTCACATGAAGATTACCATTCTAATTATAGGAACAGTGGTCTCCAAACTTTTTTTAAACACACACCCCTATGAGTAAAAAAAAAAATTCATTATACTCCCCAATAGGTATATATTTAGTAACTAGCATTTATATAGCACCTACTATGTGCCAGGAATTGTGCTAAGTGTTTTACAAATATTATCTCATTTGGTTCTCACAATAACCCTGGGAGAAAGGTGCTATTATTACCCCCATTTTACTGTTGAGGAAATTGAGGCAGACAGAGGTTAAATGATTTACCCAAGGTCACAGTTAGGAAGTGTCTTGAGCCAGATTTGAACACAGGTCTTTTTGTCTCTAGGCAAAGTGTTCTATCCACTGTACTACTTAGCTGCTAGATATTTGCTTATTCATAAATTATATACATGTACTGGCATACTTATAAGTATATAGATTAAAAAACATGCACATAAGAGGACACTAAAAAAGGATGAGATAAAGGTAGAATATCTTGAAAATAATATTGTATTTATT